TCAAACCAAATCTGCCAGGTGTTGATTTGGATGTCCACATCCCAAAAATCAACCTGCACACTATGGATTCCCCAAAATACTGTAAGTACACCTCCAATGATCAGGCTTCAACTCAATAAGTACAGCCCTGCCACTTACCCTTGGTGGCGATTGCCCCTTCCCCGAAACGGTCATCTGTTTGCCGGCAAGTTGGACAACATACACTTGACAAAATCAATCCAACTAACATGGGTCTCTCTGCTTTTGGCTGTGCTGGCAGTCAAACAAGAAATCAACTGGACATCAACCAGTTAGAGACGAACCCACATGTGCCACCATCAGGAGGGCATGGCTCCGAGAAGAAAATAAAGGAAGCCGGCTAGTGGTCAAGGGAAAAGTGTGTGTGTGTGTGTGTGTGTTGGTCATAGTAATTTAATGGACACGGAGAAAGAAAATACGCGTGACTCTCGTTGTGGGGAAACTTTGTGAGCTCACCCATGTCCTTCTTCAACTGACCAAATGGACATTTGACCAAGCTCATGCCAGGTGTCCCAGACTTGGGTCCCGAACCTTGTGGATGGCTCAGGCTCCAGCTGGACAAATATCTGCTCCCAAACCGGAAACGGAAACCTGCGACTTTCATGAGCTCGTTTACCCACCAGATCCATGCACGAGCTCGTTCAACTGTGTTGTGCTGTTGGGGCGGGATCTGTTGGTTGGCTAAAATTGGCAAAACCGAAGGGAGAAGGGAAAACCAACCACTTGGCGACACGGAACATCAACCATCGGGGATGACCAACCCCAGCCGCTTGAGCCGAGGAGCCCATATGCAGGCGCCGCAGCAGCCGAAGCTCGCAGAGGCTGTTGGGCAAGGACTCGATGCTGTTGTGGAAAAGGTTCAACCTGAGAGCCAGAAGACTCCCAAATACCATTGTTCTCGGATAGGGGGCAAGGAAGGGTGAGGTGCTGTGATTTTGGTTGGAGTCGTAGCTCTTGGAGTTGTGCTGTGGCTCCGGGGAGTTGCGCGAGATCGGATTGGGAGGTGCTTTGGCGTGCGCTTGATGCCTATGGGACCACTCCTTTCCGAACAGTCCAGGATGCATTCGATGAGAACCTCCGGCGAAAGCGATCACGAGGACGTGGGGATTGGGAAGCAGGTCAGTGGAACCTTCAGCTTAGCTTGGGGCGAGTGGGGAAGCCTTCTGGAAAGCCCCTAAAGGACGATTGCATCATGTGGCCCTCGATATCTTTTTGTGAACTCACACATGGGGGGAACTGGTTGGCCATTGCCGTTGTCCACCCAGCTGGTGAGATGTGACAGACTATCACACCGGTCCAACCGTATTCTCAAACATGGCTTGAATATGTTGATGCTGGTCGAAATGACACTTCGACTGTGGGGAGTCTCCACTTAATATACATCTCATCTGGTCCGTGTCACCTCATCAAAACGGCGGCCCAAAGGCAATGTTAAACTGGCCAAAAGTCCTCCTTTTCATTCACAGCCCTCCACACTTGCCCCAGCCGCCCAGCCCACTCGGGGTCTGTGTCAAAAACATTATACGGACCCGCACAATGGTGGGTCTCCTTTTCGTTTCCCCAGCCAACCTGAACAGGGCCCCAAGCCTTCAACCAAACACATACCCCCCACCCCCAACCCCCCACCCCCACCCCCCACCCCTCACCCACCCCCAACCGCAACCCCCACACCCCCCCACCCCCCGTCCCACCACGGGTCCGTGCGGGCGAAGCGGCGTCTCCAAGTTCCGGAGGCGGCCGATGGTCGCGGGCAGCACCCGCAGCTCGTTGCTGCTGAGGTGCAGCTCTTTCAGGGCCAGCAAATCCCCTCAAAGAGTCTGGGGGAAGATCTCCACCAATATGATGTGTGTGTGTGTGTACAAATATATGTGTACATGTGTATACATATATATATATATCATGTCAGATATATATATATATACGTATATTATACGTATACATACACATGTACAGGTACATACACATCTACGTATACACGCACCGCTCGATGGAAGCTCCGTGAATTAGAAAAAAAAAAAAAAAAAAAAACGCCGTAGAGTCGTTCATGCCGCAGTCCTCTCAGGTCCCATGTGCCTTGTCACCAGAGTGGCGCCTGGTTTCTCGGGTATCACAGGCAGTCTTCCCCTCCCCCCAACTTGTCACAGACGCGTGCGTGAGAGCATTTGCAGCAAACAAAACGCTTGGTCTAGTGAACGTCTCAGGTGGCATCCTACCCGCAGCATGCTAGCACGTGTGTGTCCTTGAGTTCTCTCCCCAAGCCTCCAACCTCCGCCTTTCATTGCAAGAACACACTTGTAAAGGGCTTTTTAACGTGGCTTGAGCTGAGCCGACAAGGCGGATTTCTTGAGACTGGAATGCTGGAATATGTCTTCCAACATCTCTTGGAGAAGCCGAGTCCTGCATTCCTTCAACCGCTTTCAGTTAGGAAGGTTCCTCTCAACGCCACATCGAATTCAACACTAGCTCCTCCAGATTTGAGAGGTTAGAATGAGGGTACCCTTTTTTTCTGTAGTCTATTTTAGTAGGGGAACCCTCCCCCGAAAAAGAAACGGTAAAAGGGCACTACTGGGGGACCTAGAACAGCTCCAACAGATTTGAGGCCATCCCGCTACCCCGCTGCTGCCGCTCCGGCGCCGATGCTCTCCGGAAGCGAGATGAGCCTCAGCGAAATGAGGGCCTCTGACCGGGAAGTGTTGGGCTTCCAGTTGTTATGTCTGTAAGAAATTCAGCCACGGAAAACAGAGCGAGGCCTACTATTTTACTGGGCATGGTTGTGACACAAATGGCACCTGATACCAAAGACGACTTTATCACGGTATCGCAGAAAGAGGCTCTAAGTTTCGCTTTTTCTCCATTGCCAATGGCTCTTTTTGTTTTTCCGTGGGCCTGGGGTCGGGTTTTCCTGTAAGGCCTGGGGTCGGCGTTGAGAATGGGGAAACAAGGTGGTCGGGACCAGTCCGGCAACAGGCTTTCAAACCTGTTTCTGGATTCCACGTCAACCAGCGGGCACAAGACGTCTGAAGTATTCCAGGGTCAACAATGTCAAAAGCAGCACCACTTCTGCTGGCGGCCAGAAATTTGCGCAAGTCCTGTCCTCTGTCACACAGTATTGCAACAGAGACGGGCATGGCGGATCGAGCCTAATGGCCTACGACAAACCGCAGGAAGGACAGTGCCCTTGGATCAAAAGGAATCTGAGGCGCTTGCCGCGGACCTGCGCTCGGCCCCTTTCCCTTTCATCTCTCCCCTTCTCCCCATTTGTTTCAACAGGATGGCATTCAAACCTGACCGCAAATGGCCCCACCGTCCCAAACATTCGCATGAACGACGCGGCTTCGTCAGTGCGGCCGCGGAAACATGTTGGAGTCCACCCTGAGGTCTCGCAGCTGCGACAGCTGGCCCAGCGCTTCTGGGAGATGCTGCAGCTTGTTTGCACTCCTAAGAGACTTTCGACGGCCGGGCCCGCTAGCTCGTACCTCAACAAACCGGGGAGACGCATCTCCGTTTTGGGGACGCGCTTTGGGGTTCTGGAGTCAAATGGCGGAGCATGTCAGGAGCCCGGGGATAGAGTCAAATGGCATGGGAATTCGCAGGCCATACTGACCTCGAAAAAAAGTGGTGTTGCCTGAATCTTAATGCTGCATTCGGGAACTGAATGCAAGACCTCAGGCAAGGCCGCAATACGAGTACCAGCCCCACTCAGCCTTTCGCCTCTTTCCCGGGACTCCCTGACAAGCTTGCTGAGTCACCTCAACTGGCGCTTCAGCATCTTCGGGGGCGCTTGGGAAGAAACCCAAGAATTTCTGCAATTGGCTCGCGTCATTCCGCGTTCCTCACCCAAGCACACTGGGCCCCCAAACCAATCCCCCCCACTTTCCGCGCCGCCAAAAAGAGACAACTTGACCGCTTTCTTTAGGGTATTGTTGTTCTAAGGCGAGCCTGCCAAACCATTCACCTCAAAAAATCCATGGCCCAAACTTCCAACCTCCCAACTTCCTAAACCCCCTAAACCCCCTAAACCCCCTAAACCCCCTAAACCCCCTAAACCCCCTAAACCCCCTAAACCCCCTAAACCTCCTAAACCCCCTGAACCCCCTGAACCCCCTGAACCTCCTGAATCCCTGAACCCCCTGAACCCCCACCCTCAGCACCCCCAGCCCCCTGAGGCCCCCTGAGCCCCCCTGAGCTTCCCTGAGCCCAGGCGCAGGCTCAGCTCCCGCAGCTGCTGCAGCTTGCCCAGGCCGCGCGGCAGCTCCTGGAGCTGCGCGCTCCGCAGCTGCAGCTGCTCCATCTCACGCGCCCCGGTGGCGGTGGGGCCCTCAAACCCCCCGCCCCGCCCCAAGTGTTGGGCTTGGGGTGGGGTTGGGGTTGGGGTGCCGCAGTCCCTCCATAACCTTGCTCAGGGAAACACTGCCGACGCCGTAGCAAGCTGCTGACGCTGCACAACCTGGCTCAAAACGCGTCCATTCTCCGCCGCATTTTGGGAGCTCCAAGAACATGGTTTGGACACAACTCGAACACCTCTCCGTTCTTCGGTTCCCAGCTTCCATCCCTCAGCTGAACGGCTCGCCGGCCTGCAGGGCATCCGCGAAATGCTCCAGGCCCATGGCTTCCGCGAAGTTCGCCTCCAAGGGGTCCGGCATGATCTGCACCGTCGCGCCTTCAGTCGAGCCCCGCCAACCAATGGGCCTGTCACCTGCTGTGGCCCCCGCGAAGCGTCCTGCTATAATCCCAATCGGGTGCATAGCTGCTTACCACTTGGCAGGTGTGTGGTTCTCCTGCACCTCCAGGCATCTGTTTTCTTCAAATGCTGGTGCATCGGCTTGAGCCTAACCTGGAAAACGATCGCTGTGGGTGTGGCATCTGTGCCACGTGTGTTTGTGCAATTCATGGTTCGTGACGGGGTAAGCGCGTGACGTACACCAAAATTGTGGTACCTTCTTAAACAAGAAATGTCCCTAAACAACACAAACGTAGCGTGCGGTTTCCATGTGGGGCAGCTCTTTGAGCAAGGCTTGCTTTCCAGAATTCCCTTTCTGAACGGTACAGAGAGGCATCCGTATCCATCCGTCGGCCTTTCCAGGGTGGCCAGCATGGCTGTTCTACAACATGTCCAAAGCCTGGCATAGGGGGATCCCCAGGTAAGCTGGACAACAGAATAGGCAGAAGATTCCAGCGGTCAAACTCTCGGCAGAACCCCCACCCCTTCAAAAGAAGCACATCGGCGCGACGGCCACAGACTAGTTGATAACTGCCACGCTGGCTAAACCACTGGATCTTGACACCTTCAAGGGCTGTTACCTTTTGAGCGACTCTCGAAATAGACCTGAGATGCTGGGGAGACGAACAACTTCATCATGGCTTGTTGTCCTTTCAATTCTGCGCAAGGCTTCGCCTGTCAATTGGCTCGACAACTTCGCGCGCTTGTGGCTAGCGCATCTAAAAGCCTGACCCGCGTACTTGCTTGGACAAGCTACGACAATTACAACCATAAAGCAAGTCATCCCACAAGAATGAGCCATTCACAGTATTCACATGCTGAGCTGCCAAACAACCAGACAAAAGAAATGGCCAAAGCAATGATCGCTCGCGTCATTTGAAGCCGTGGAGCAACTGTCCTCCATGATGAAAACGTCGCCATCCTGGCTGCTGTGCATCTGAGTGGAACACGTTTGGTCTTCAACGACATACTTTATTTGGAACATGTTCATCACCCCAACTGAACCCCGCAAGCACATGCCCATCCCATGACATAAGGCACGGCGTCAAAGCGTGGCAGGCTGGCAATTCTTGGGAAAGGTCCAACAACACCACCATCAGCCGCTCCAAGCCCAGCAGGGCGTGCGTGCTTGTGCGGAGGCGGGGGCGTGTGCGCGTGCGGGTGCGCTTACGCGTGCGGGTGATTGTGCGCATGCGTGTTCGCGCGTGCGTGCGTGTGCATGCGCGTGTGCGTGTGCGGGTGCGCGTGTGGCTTTGGCTGTGGCTGTGGCTGTGCGCGTGCCTGTTTAGTAAAAGGCTCTTGCCCCAATTTTTGTCCGTGCAAACCTTGCCAGAGCGAGTATGAACATGTTGGGCTTGCACGCGTACGGAACAAAGATGTAATTGGGGTATATTGACATGTTGGGAGTGGGTATGTGCACGCCCAGTGAAGATACAACCGCGCTAATCTGTTGCAACATCGGCATTGTTCTGGCACGAATTGTTGCCCTCAGACTAGCATGACCGAGTGCATGATTCTGCAGACTATAGAATTGAAGCATGCTTCTGGCCCCAACCTCCGCTTGCCACCCTTCAGCTGCATTTGGACCATAGCAATCCCCGGCGCTTCCCAATTTGTGTTCCAGTTCATCGAATCCCAAACCCTCATTTGCAGACTTTGAATGGACCAAATGCACCAGTTGGTAGGTGGTTTATCCCATGTTTAAAAGGGTTTCATCCATTCCAACCGGGTGCCAAACGGATTTGGTCCATCATGCTGATCTCATATTAATCAAGCCCAGGTTATTAATGGGGATGTCCATGTCTGGGTTTAGTGGGGAAAGCTTATTGATAGGGGGTCCATGGAATCCTCACTTGAGGGGCCCGCACCCCCTATGAATAGCCTGGTTGCTTGATCCATATGAAATCAACACGAGATGAATCCAAACACATGGATTCAAGAACCAAAAGAGGACGGGAGGAACCCGCGGTGTCCGGCTGCGAAGCGAGCCCCGCTCGCCTTCCCCTGGACCCGGCTCGTCTTGCGTCCGATCCCCGCCTCCAGCTCTTTGGAGGTCACCAGGCGCACCCGTTGCCGAGACTCGAGCTCCAGGTGCCGCGCCAGCACCTCCCTGGCCGCCTGCACCGACACCTCCGCGCCCAGACTCCTCAGCCGGGCTTCGGGACGCTCGGCAGGCCGGGCACCAAAGTGGCTGTCTGGTAGAGCTCTATCCTCCTAATAGCGTCGAAAGTTTCCAGAAGCAAAGCCGACAAGTATTTCCCAAACTAAAATCCAGTAGGAAAAGGGCCCCGTTCTTACCCCTGAAAGTCGGTGCTCACCTTGCGTTTGATCTGCACACGGCAAAACAACACGCGCGACAAACTCCGCCGGGCCGCCCGAGCTCCGCCTCGCAGCGGATCGCCTCACCGCTGAGCAGCCGGAAGGCCATGGCGCGGCGGGGTTCTCCGGAAGGCACCCTGGACCGAGGCTTGGGGGATGTACTGACGCATATATATATATATATATATCCTGCGTGTATCTAACATGTATCTGCGTATAGACAGACGGGGAGTGTTGCAACTGTTGCCCACAGGCAGTTTCAGATACAAAAAATCATGATCCAACTTGCCGATGGCGTCTGAGTAGGTGCTGTGACCTTCGACCGGTGTTTCGAACACCTGCATGTTGCATTCTGCTCCAATACGCCTCACTTCAGAGAAGATTTGCATCCGTTGCACTGTTGTTCTGCTGAGTGGAAGAAGCTGCCAAGCAAATGCGAAATGACGGAGGCAGAGTAGAAATCAGCCATTGCTGAATCCCAAGAGCATCATGAGTAGAGGTCTAACCCGTTCCAATCGTCATGCGATTCCTTCTGGAGCTTGCAGGCACCAAACAAATGGCTGAGATAGGGTCATTAACACGATCAAATGCACATTTGGGCATTGTTTCCTAACCCTTTCTCGTTGCTTCCGTTGCCACTCGGGCATCCGGCGAAGCGCTGCTTCTCATGCACAGCGTGGCAGCCGAAGTTCTTGCCGACTGTGACATGCCAGTACCTGGAATGCAAGCCGCACAGACGTGAGAAGTGGCCAAAGCAACCCGAAGGTCGAGCCCACTTATATGTTCACTTCTTCACGACTTTCATGCAGTCTTAGGCCTCTGCGGCACAACAAAAGGAAGATCTCACAGCCCCATCTGCTCTCTTTCAGATCCCCCAAATCCATCCAGCATCGCATTGAGCACGGCTTGTGGTTCTCATCAAAGTGCTGCTTGATCTTCTGGGCAATCTTCGTGCCTGCTCAGGTATCAAAGCTTTGAGCCCCTGAGGAACAAAAGGCCAAGTGAGTCTGGCTCTGACCTGTGAGAAGGACCCGCATTCAGGACCAAGTGAAGATTAATGTCGCCCCCAGAATTGATTTGGAGCTATGTCCGCACTTTCTGCACCCAGGCATGCGGAGTTCCCACCGTGCCTGCATTTGATCCAACACCAGCATGGATGACAAGTCACAGGCCGCCAAGTAAAATCCTCAAAAGAATCTCGCCAAATTAAATTAGGGGACCTTCACAATGGATGTATCCTGGCCATTTGAGAACCCTCTTTAGAAGGGCTTTCTTGTTTAAAGCCACTTGAGAACGCAGGTTGCGACTTGAAGGAAGTGATGTCCACCAGCCTTCCCGCTCTTGTCTGCCAAACTCCTCTAGCGCGTTCAGCGACACTTTTACCTTGGCGTGGAGAGACAAGATGCCAATTCGCCGAGGGTTGGGCCTCAACTGTTGGCCCTGATACAGCTAAGTTTCTGGGGGGGGGGCTTCCAATAACCTCCTTCCTGCAAACCTCACTCCGGGGCAGCACAATGCCGGCCATTCTGGAGTGCGAAAACACCTGCTGCGAGGCATGCCAGGTGGGAACTGATGAGCAGCTCGGATGATGGCATGCGACACACTGATGAGCAGCATGCATGATGGCATGCTACACTGCTAGGCCGGCCCTCTCATGCCATAACTATTCTCATCGATTCACGCAGTAGCTTAGCTATGAGTTTATACCCTTCACCCGCCGCCCCGCCCGCTTTTCTGCCAATGGATCGCTCCTGAGAATATGCGAACCACTCTTTCCCAAAAGAGGAGGACCCTAATAGGGAAAGCATGAACGTCTATGCACAACAGAAACCAACCAGCCTTGCCTCACAACCCCCCAAAAACAAATTGCCGACCGATTCAGGGCCCAGGCAGCATCTTCCAGCATGTCATCAGGCATGTCAGGCGGCCACAGAATCTTCGCCTCGAATTCGCATCGCGCGGCTCTGGTCCCATGGCATCGGACTGTGCCAGATTCGCCCGTGAAGACTGGCCAAACAAATGCGGAATTCGCACCTGGGCGAGGCCTTCTTGCATCCATCCTACGGACATCACCAAGTAGTCAACACCACAACAGAACGACGTTGACCCCTGCGGAAGCCCTTTCTGTTTTCAGGCGGAACAGGGACGCTTCCTTCGGTACCTCAACTGCCAGTTCATGGTCAGCTTGCCTGGCGACCAAAGCATCCCAACACGCGGAAGCCTGCTGTCCGTTCCCAAGCAACTTAGACCACTGGTACGCTCCGCATCTCGCATCTCCGGGCCGAGTGACTTGCAACATGAACGCCCGAATGGCCAAGCCTTGCTTTTGGCTTGTCTCTACACCAACCTGGCTCAGAACATCCGACTTGTTGGTGGAGCCTTCCTTGCTGGGTGGTTAAAGTTGTCCGAGGATCCAAACAGGGACCCTCTCCAAGCTTACACAACTTCAAACAACATCCGTTTGGTTTCCCAAAGGTACTGGCGCTGGTTGTGTACGCACAACTTGCCCAATGACCCTATCCAGTGATTCTTCCCATCGCTGACTCAAGCAACCGGATCCAAAACTGGGCGCGGGGCTCCCCAGAGCGTCTTGTACTCCTTTCGAGCGGGGGTTAAAGAAACCCGGAGCGCTAAACAGAAAGACCGAACAAAAGGCGGCTTCTTCCCCAAGATAGCAAATCATTGCGGCCCAACATGGCTTCGTTTTCAGCAATCTCCAGCAAAGTGCTGTTTGTTGCCTGAAAAAATTGAAATCACCGCCAACAATGGGAAGTTCTGGGCGCGCGCGTGCGCCCTAAACCTTGCTGGAGGCTTGTCCGGCACTACCCTTCCACCTCACTTGTTGCCATGGCCAAAGCTCTGCATACCTGCAGAGGCAATGAGTTGGAAGCAAGCTACAAGCACAGCACACAAGCAGAAGGGACCATAAACGTTTTGCGCAGTTGAATCTGGAGGATCTTCGAGAGTCATGCATTGTTGTCCTGGAGTCTACCGAGAAGGAAGTCTTTGAGCACCTTCTGGATGAGAAAGCAGGCAAACACCCTGCTTTTCTTTTACGCATGTCATTCCAGCTTCAAACATTTGGTGTCAGCGACAGCAGCGTTTCAGCTGTTTCTGCCCAGATAAGTCTTGGGGAAGCTGCTGCCTTTTGCAGTTCGGTCTTTCTGATCGTCTCAAAACCGGTGTGGATTCCACAATCCCCCTGTCGTTCAGCGCTTTCAATTTCAACTGCCACGACGTGCTGGCTTTGGCCCTTGGTTGGAGCAGGCCCAACATGGCTTCGTTTTCAATATCTAACAAAGCGCTGCTTCCGAAGACGCTAAAAGCACTGGCAGCCATGGGAAGATTCCATCGCCTCTTGGGAACCTGATCTTCAAGCTGCACCCAAGAGAAAACGGCGGTGCCCATCTCTCTCACGCAAAGACCAAATGGCTCCTCTGCTGCCTTCTGCTCATCGTTTTGCGCCATGACCTCAGGACATCGGCGTGAATCTGAGTAGCTCCGGTTTTGAGGCCCTGGGAGAGTGACGCCTGCGCCTCCTGGCTCCAAAGACTTGGGTCGACCCCAGCGCAACGCCCCGTGCAGAGAGGGGCCTAGGTCTGCGGCCGCAGGCAGGCAATCCCGGCCCTCTTCGCCAAGGGCTCTAAGCCGAAACGGCCGCGTCCGCGGGCCAGTCTTGCTCTGAAGCCGCCCTTTCAGCATACCCCAACCCTCCCATAGGATGCCCGAATCTGCATATGTCCTGGGCTGGGAGAAACATGCTGCATTTCCGGCGATCCAACAAAGAGCCGAGGCGCTTTTCGGCGCAGGTTGCAAGAGGCGCCTCGGACCGTGCCGGTTTGTGGTGGGAAAGTCAGGGACACCGCCTCCGCTGAAATTTTGCGATAACTTTATCCAAAGCATCACCCCAAAAAGCCTGACAGGTTCTGGATACCCCTGAAAGACCGTGCTTCTGATGAAAGAGACCCTGCTCCTGATGACTTGACCTGCCTCTTAGGTTCTATGTTAGTGTGAGGACATTGCGGGCATGCACTATGCAACCTTCACGGCTACCACGCAACATTAACATGTGAGCCCTGGACAAACGACTACCTAGTAATTTGTGAGTTGCTCATGTGGGAACAGCTTGAAACCCACTGTGCATGGCTGCGTGTCATCGTGTGCTTAGGCATGGCTTCTAAAAGCCAGCTTAGGAAGCACATGCGCCTTTGTCCATCGCCCCGATCGCGAATCGAATAGGCCTACCACAAGCGCCCGGGGATGGTGACTCTTGCAGCAGCACCGTGCACTTGGCTCCTCGATGTTCTCACGTGACTGGAGCACCCGTTCCAGTTGAAGATCCGCTCAGTAAATCTCATGATGCTTGAACGCGTGGGCCAACCCTATTTCATGGCATAGAACACCGAGGATCTGCGGATGGATATGTGCTCGCTAAGCCAGACTGCATTGCAGTCTAGTTCCCACGCGTCTGCGCATGCGGCGCTCCCAGCGCCATACTGAGCCAAGGGGCAGACCAGGCAGCTCGAGAGCTCAGGTGAAACACGGGGGCCAAGGCCCGGGAGGCAGCTCAATGCATGGACTGCACGGGGCTTCCGCCTGGCCGGCATCGCTCAACTGGCCATGTCTCAAGATTGGGGCAGTTCGATCGCTTCGGGTGGTTTCCCCCTTGAAGCCACCCCCAAAGGCGGGGATTTTGACAATTTTAGGAAGCACCTAAACCCGGCCGCCGCCCTCCTCGCCTCCCTCCTGGGTCAAGGAAGCAACCTGCAGCGGAGGCAAGATTTGTCGTTTGCTTCACATGACTTTGGATATCAAGGATCCTCACAACATCTGAGATTCTCCCAGGTCCGCTCATAGAGCCTTAACCCGGCTGCAAATTAACTGGCCCAAGGGCAATCTCTCACCCCAGTGTTCCAGTCTTGCAGTGAGGATGGGGAGGTCGCGTCTGACTGGCTCGATCAAACTGCGGCAGGCCTGCGGATGCAAGTGGTTGTCCAGTGAGCTCACCTAGGTTGCAGCGAGCAGAATCCGCCGGAGTCCCGGCTGTCTCAAAGAGCTTGAAACCCCCAAGCCAGCGGGGGACTGGGCGGCATGTCGATGCTTATTGAAAGGGCCGCAGGTCCCCGCCTAGAACACAGA